GAGAGAGAGAGAGAGAGAGAGAGAGAGAGAGAGAGAGAGAGAGAGAGAGAGCGCATTTTTATTTAATCAGCAAAACATTAGCTGCTGTACAGAGTATAAGGTCTAATATGTTCGAGTTGAAGCGGTTCCTGAGCTCTCTTCTTCGTCCCCTTTATTTGGGCGTTTTCTCTATCTCAGATAATCTAATTTGTGTTGAAACCGAAGCTCTGTCTCATCTCCTACACTCCCTCTCCAGAGAAGACGCCCACCATTTACTTTTGATTCTATCTCAAGGAGTCATGTTGTACGATTTCCTTGATCAAACAGTTAGTCTTGAAACGACTATTCTACCTGTCCCAGTTTAGGATTGGCTGAACTTCTCGGGTTTAAGTCTTTAATTAAATAAAAAACCAAATTGTATCTTAATTTCATGTACTTACTGACAGTACACAAAATCGAGACAAATGTCATGAGGCACAAACCACTAAGTCAGAACCGGCGTCTGTTTCGAAGCAGTTGACATTTCGCTGTTTTCACGTCAGAATACCGATTTCGATTCCCGAGTGAGGAGAAAATGTGTATTGAGTATGTCGGTTTTTATAAGGAATATATCAGTCGCTGCTCGGGAGGGTCCTGGCTGGCATGGGTCGAAAACCTGGCCCCTAAATGGTCTGCAGTATGTCGATGGGGACGTAAATCACTTACATTAATCTTTTTTTTTTTGAATCAGTAAATGATATTGCCAATGGAAACTGCACCATACCGAGTCTTGTCTAAGTAAATGTTGATATAATTTTGTAAGGGTAAGGCAGGATGAAACCAAGTGACCTATCCACGCACTTTCTTTGAGTCAACTTACTTCTGATCTCCTCAGTAGTGTTCCCATTGCGACCTGTTGACCTTTTGAACTTATCTACGGTCCAAGTGTTGGATGCTGTTGATCTTTTCTGCCTTCTGTAACTCCACAGACTGCGATGAAGGTTAGTCACGTGACTTTCTGTGCTGTCCTATTACTTCTGAAAAAGAAAGAAAGGAAAAAACGTAATGTACATTCATATCAAATTCATTGTGTCCGAGACGCAATTTATCGACTTAGCTTCAGAGAAAGCTTCATATTACAAATGTCGCTATTTGATGATAGCCTAGGCTTCGGTAAACACAATCTCGTGTTTATTACGGTTTAGTAAAAATAGCCGTTGTTCCACATTTTTAACCCCAAAAAATGAAAGACTTTTTTATGGTAGTTCGGACAGGAAAAGTGAACGATGTTGATGTTATAATCACTTGACTAATGAATATTGAAAGCAAAAACCATTACCTGGGTGTTATCTGTAGCAGAGCTTCGGGGGGTCATACAAAATTGGCCTTTGGTTAGCAGCATAGACATTTTCACCAGCGTCTGTGGTTTTGTGATCAAGCCTTTCATCGTCACAAGCTAAAGAGTTCGATTCCTGCACAGAAAGGTTTTCTATGGAGTATCTGGGCACGTTTGCTGGGATATTGTCCGTTGGCACTGACAGGAATGGCCGAAGCATCCAGTCTCCTAAATGATCTAAGTAGCGTAACTGGGGACATAACACAGCCCCAACTACAAAAACATTTTTAGTGACTTCCGATAAAGAACTTTGTGGTTAAGTAGTCTTCAAAAGTCGTTGTGATGCTCTGAATATAGAGTAAGAGTAAAGTTGTTCCCGCATCCGATCCGGACATTACGGGATTGCCTTGTTAGTAAGACAACCTCCTGTGCCTTCGACATAGTGTGCTAGGGTGGCCATGCAGTTCCTTTCCACGCCGCGTTTACTTCCCCAACTCGAGGTCAAGTACCCATTACTCCTGAGTGGGCAGGATGGGGCGAAAAAAATATGTGTCCGAACTGAGGCTCGAACCTGGACTTTCCGCTTCGGAAACGAGCGCACTAACTGCTCTGCCACCGCACCCTCAAAAAATGGGGTAAAACATCTATTGCACAAGAAATCGTCCTCTAAGTCCTGAAAATCGTCCCTAAATAAAGTCTCATGTCCTTACAGGCGTAGATAACACAGTGCTGTTCATAAGTGTGCTCAGGGCAACATTTCCTATTATTTCGAACCCAACTTATATTTTTAATCCTGTAAAATTGCACAGTAATAACATTCTGGTTCACATAATCGCTGGCTTATTATCTTATGTATTAACGTCATCGCTGCTGACTAGGGGCGAAAGATTTGACTAGGAAGGAAATTACAAGGCAGGTGGAAAAACAATGTGGGTATGTGGGTGGGTGAGGGTGGGGGCCATTATGCGAGGAGAATTTCACGGGGGAGTGGGTCTTTACCAGAAAAAGAAAGAGAGAGAGAGAGAGCATATCAGAGAGAGAGAGAGAGCAGATCAGAGAGAGAGAGAGAGAGAGAGAGAAAGAGAGAGAGAAAGATAGATAGATAGAGAGAGAG